CTTTCCCTCTCCCTCTCTCTGTTAAACAAATGCAGTCATCTTTTCTGCCCACCTCCCTGCCAAGCTCAGAATGTCTTCTTTCTTTCCTTTGCTTTAATGCAAGTTCCTATCACTTCCATGCAGCCTACTCAGAATATTTTTTTGTCTATATAACTACTTCTTGAATTTTAATGTACTTGATTATCCTCTAGTTTGTTTATCTGTATTTGTTTTAGACCCTATCCCATTTTAATCTACCTTGTTAGATTCAATATGGCAGTAAGAATGTGTACGCATGTACCAATACTTAACTAAAGGCTAATACTAAATCATCTCATGATAGTTCCCTGGGGATGGCAAAGTTGAAAGAAATTCACACTCAGATATGGAGAAGGCTGTAAGAACTCATGATGTCATGCTTAAAGCCTCTGGATGAGTTCTGGTCAGCTAGCCAACCTCTTTAAATCACAGTCCCGCAGAGACTCAAGAGATGCAAGAATAAAATGGAAAAGATCTGCTACAGGGAGTGCCTCTCTTGTTCTGGTTTTCCATATCTTTGGGAGGTCTACATCTAAGTGTAATGTAGGGTGTGCTTTAAGGATTTTATAAGCAACTAGTCTCCTTCAAAACTTTTGGGGACGGGGGACAGACTAAGGCCAGGATCTTATTTTTTAGTTCTTTATGTTCTATGTTCCAAAGTTTAGAACTCTTACTTTAAACCAGGTTTCTCAACTTCAGCACTACTGACATTTTGGGGGAAGGAAGAAGACTATTCTGTGCATTATATGGTGTTTATTACCAGTATCCCTAGCTTCTATCCACTAGATGAGGTTGTCACTACTCATTTGTGATAACCAATGTATGAGACATTTTTTTGGTTATGTCTCATACATTTTTCCTGAGGGGCCAAGTCATTCCTGGATGAGAATTGCTGCAGTAAGCTCTGCTTTATTAATAGAGAGTAATTTGGAATATGATAATAAAAAGTAGTAGAACTATTTGTTAATTCTAGAATATTTTAGGCTTTAATACCTGCTGCAAAGTATAAAAACATTAACTTAAGTTATAATGTTTTCAAAGACTATTTTATTGCAGCTAGCAATAAATATAGTTGACGTAAGATTTAGCTCTGTAATAATAAATACTCATTTCAATCCTGCCTAGCTTCACCACTTACTACTTGTATGATCTCAGTCAAGTTACTTAATCTTTTAGAAAAAAGTCAGTTAAAAAGTAGGAACAATTATAGTTCCTACTATATTGAGTTGTGAGAATTGTATCAGATAATAAGAAAAAGGCTTAGCAAATCAATGTCATGTAGCAAGCAACTAATAAATCCTACCTTTTATCATTATGAGAAAATGCTACTACAGGATTCTTAGTGGAAAATGAATGATACAAAACTATATAATGATATATTTAAAAAATGAAGTAAAATAAACTATAAATAACTTTTACATCTCACATACCGTAAGAAATCCTTCAATTTATCAATTATGTGAAAATGTGTATTATTTGTTTTGGTTATTTCTTTATACATTTGTCCTTCTATAACGGGCACATATTTTATTATTTTTTGAGTAACCAGAAAATCAAAATTTTAAATTGAAAAATGCCACTAAACATTTCAAACATATAAACATATAAACAAACGTTAGCATTTTTTATATAGTTCATGCATCTTTTTAATACATATGTATATGTCCATAGTTAATTGTTTTTAATCTTTATATATGATTTATTATATGTATAATTCTTAAACCTGTTTTTTTCCCTATAGTGCTTTAAAAATTCCCACATTTTAATATCGGTATAAAACTTGGGGGGAGGGAAAAAGTTTGGATCATATGTATTATCTGGCCCTTTCTTAAAGGATCAGATATTATATATTTTAAGCTTATGAGCCAAATGGTTTGTGTCACTTCTGTTATGGTAAGAAAGCAGCCAGACAACCCATAAGTGAATGAGCATGGCCATGTTCAACAAAACTTTATTTGTAAACAGATGGCTGCCTCATAGCCTCTACAGGCATCCCTTGGAGATATTGTAGGTTCAGTTCCAGACCATTTCAATAAAGTGAGTCCTGAAATCAACTATAAGAAAAAACTGGAAAATATGTAAACATACTGAAGCTAAACAATATGCTACTGAACAATGAATGGGTAACAATGAGATCAAGGAAGAAATCAAAAGATCCCACTAGAGATAAATGAAAATAAAAACACAATGACTCAAAATTTATGCGACACAGCAAAAGCAGTCCTAAGAGGGAAAGTCAAACTTCAAGAAAAAAGAAAAATCTCAAATAAACCATCTTACTTTACACTTAAAAGAACTAGAAAAAGAACAGCAAACAAAACCCAAAGTGAATAGAAAGAAGGAAATAATAAAGATCAAAGCGGAAATAAAGCAAAATAGAGTCTAGAAAAACAATACAAAAGATCAATGAAACCAAGAGGGGGCCTTTTGAAAGGATAAACAAAATTAATAAACCTTTAACTAGACTCATCAAGAAAAAAAGAGAGGACCCAAATAAATAAAATCAGAAATGAAAGGGGAGAAATAACTATGGACCCCACATAAATACAAAGGATTATAAGAAAATATTATGAGCAATTATATGCCAACAAACAGGAAAATCTGGATGAAATGGATACATTCCTAGAAATATACAATCTCCCAAGACTGAGCCACGAAGAAGCAGAAAATCTGAACTGACCAATTACCACAAATGAAAATGAATCAGTAATCAAAAAACTTCCAAAAAACAAAAGTCAGGAACCGGATGGCCTCCTAGGTGAATTTTAACAAACATTCAAAGAATTAACATCTATTCTTCTCAAACTATTCCAAAAAATTCAAGAGGGGGGAAGGCTCCCTCTTCTATCAAGACCAGAAAAGATAGGCATTTATAGATGACATGATACTATAGAAAGAGAACCCTAAAGATTCCACCAAAAAACTGTTAGAACTGATAAATGATTTCAGTAAAGTAACAGGATACAAAATTAATATTCAGAAGTCGGCTGTGTTTTTATACACGGATGATAAACTATCAGAAAGAAAAATTAAGAAAACAATCCCATTTATAATTGCATCAAAAACAATAAAATACCTAGGAATCAATTTAATCAAGGAGGTAAAAGACTTGTTCTTGGAAAATTATAAGTCACTGAAAAAAGAAATTGAAGATACAAATAAATGGAAGCTCATAGATAGGAAGAATCAACATCATTAAAATGGCCATGCTACCCAAGCTATCTATAGATTCAATGCAATCTCTATCAAAATACCAATGGCGTTTTTCAGAGGACTAGAACAAATAATCCCAAAATTTATATGGAACCATAAAAGATCTCGAATAGTCACAGCAATCTTGAGAAAGAACAAAATTGGAAGAATCACATTACCTGATATCAAACTATATTATAAGCCTATATTGATCAAAACAGCATGGTACTGGCATAAAAACAGACACATAGATCAATGGAACAGAACTGAACGTCCAGAAATAATTCCATAGCTAGACGGTCATTTAATCTATGAAAAAGGAGGCAAGAATATACAATGGGGTAAAGACAGTCTCTTCAACAAACAGTGTTGGGAATATCGAACAGATACATGCAAAAAAATGAACTGGACCACCTTCATACACCATACACAAGAATAAACTCAAAATAGATCAAAGACTTAAATGTGAGACCCAAAACCATAAAACTCCTAGAAGAAAAGATAGGCAGTAAATTCTGATATTGTTATTAGTAATTTTTCTTCTGATATATCTCCTATGTCAAGGGAAACAAAAGAAAAAATAAACAAATGTGATTTTATCAAACTAAAAAGCTTTTGCACAGCAAAGGAAACAATCAATAAAATGAAAAGACAACCTACTGCATAGGAGAAGATATCTGCCTATGATATATCTGACAAGGGGTTAATATCCAAAATTTAAAAAGAAAAAAAAATAAAGTGAGTCTTAATTTTTTTGCTGTTGGAGAGGCCTACCTTTAATTTGTAAAAAACAAAACAAAACAAAACAAACAAAAAAATCTGTGACGTACAATAAAGTGAAGCACAATGAGGTGTGCCTGTATTTTGCTGACCTGATTTAGATGCTAGATTTCAATGACCAAGTACTGCTACTGATGAAATGAACTAAGGTTAGACAATTAGAACTATATTAAGTCACTCACATTTTGTTCACAAAGAAGTTTTAAATCATCTCTCTGAGGGGAACTTCCGACACCCCACTGTGCCTCTAAGTCATCAATCTGATTTGGTGGATGGTGCATTATTGGACGGACATCACCAGCAGAAGTAGGATCCACGGTCAATTCTTTCACCCTATAAACAAAGAGGTATCTAAAATCAGTAAAGACTTATAGCAGAAGAACAAGAAAATACCAACCTATTCAATATAAAGGCAATTCAATTAACGTATTAAGATTAATGATGTCAGCTTTCCAGATCAAGTGTACCTGAAATCCATGAAAACACTAAAGAGATGTTTAGCTGTTTAATTTTAGGAATTTATTTAGGTAACTTTACAATTATTTCAAATATAATTATTGTGCATAATAAATGAGAATTAGCAAAGTATGTAGATTCAGTACTTCAGAGTAAATGAGACTGCTGATGAAATTAAATTAAATGAACAGAAAAATACTAATAATAGCACTTAGATTAATAATATACTTTGCAGATTTTTGGTAGCAATAATGCTTAATTAAAATTAAAATAGCTATATGTGAAATAATCTTATTCTAATGTAAAAAGCTATACGATGTAAATTAGCTCCATCATTTACTAAATGTTTACCCATTAAATTTAAATTTATACACTTGGGAGAGCATACACTAAGTCAAGAGGATTTTCATTATTTTCTTGCAGATTCAGAAATTTACAAGAGCAGAACAAAGGTAAACCTTTCATTTTAAACGAGACAGTTTATCCTTTAATGGTACATATGCAAAGATGACATCATCCTTAAAAATGTGGGGGGAAATGGAAAGCCTGAATTCTAAAAACATTTTAAAGCAAATAAATTAACAAAGTACATAAAAATGAAGATCATGCAGCACAACCACCACCTGCCAAACGAAATAAAAATGAAAAATCAAATGGCTCAGGACAAAAGAAATACAAATAAAAATTTATACATAGCACAATTGAACTATTAAAATAAACATCTTATGTATAGAATGAACTAGACCTGGTAATCGAAGGAGAAAAGTCGTCATACTCATAAGAAGGAGAGAGATCAGGGCGACTGCCACTACCCTGTGAGAAGGGAATGTCTGATGGACTAATTCCAAACTCCTTTACTCTGCAGCACCAAAACAGCAACAAATTAAAAGAAAACGCTCTTGTAAAGACAGCAATGCATATTTCAAATTTTCATTTAGTACTGTTTAATTTGTTTAGAAGAGGATATCAACATTGTTGTAACAATATTTTAGAACATTTTAAAAATCCATTATAAGATTTAGAAACCCATCTTATTCTCTACTACACAGTCCTTTGTTTCTGGTGTCCTTTTCTCATGATCCTTTCTAGAAATTTAACTAGACCATCACCTAAATTTAAAATGCCCCTTATTTAATTACATGACCAATCTAATTTCCTATGTAATCAATATCATGAACATTTTGTGAATCCTCAACACTCTTGAAGTCTTTTCAAACAGGACACAAGAGAATTAAGTCTTAATGGAATCCATTGTTTGTAATGAGCATCTAGACTGGATTCATCTGTCCTTCATCCTTTATAGTCACTTTGGAAAGCTTATTTACCACACATGCTGACAAATCTAAATTTCTAATACTATTTAACTCTTTTTACTCTCAATCCATTTCCTTTTAGAATCTCCTAATTTAGATACCATGTAAGCCCCTAATCACATATTTCTCCTCTATTCAAAGCCCTCTTGCCCAATCTAAACTATACCATATGCAGCAATTATATTCCTCAAATGAGTTATCAAAGGAGGTATTTCCAAATGCCTAGAGATTTGGAAATAAAAGGCAGAATTATTTGTCCCAGATGGATAGTCATGTTGCAAATGAATTACATTACATGATAACAAATTAAAACATTTTACTTGAACCTAAACAAGAGGAATGGCCAGACACAGCTTTTTCACATTAGGGCGGATTCCTTTGCAAAGTCTGAAGACCTGGAGAGTTTTTGTTTCAGTTCTACACTGTGACAATATTCTACTACACTAAACTGTTCTTCATCTCTCCTACTAACAATTTTGAAATAAGAAGCACTTTAAATTAATGATAAAAACCCCAGAAATACCAAAAATGTTCATTACAGGGATCAATTAAAAGTATCATATATATCTGCAGCTAGGAGCTCATAATTCATAGTTTAAAAGGAATCAAATTTAGAAATGAAGTTCTATTATATTTTTAAAAAGTTATTATATTTTAATAATCATGCAAAAGGTCAAGAGATTTATACTTTCCAACAGTTTTTACTATAATTTTTAAAAAATCTCTTTAGTTGAAGCAAAAGCAAGATACAAAAGAACAAAGTCTACTCTACCTAATTTATGTCAAGTTCAAATAGAGCTACACCTATGTTATTCACGGATAAATTCATAGGCAGAAAAAACTATTTTTAAAAAGAAAGAAAAACAAACTTTTCCCACAGAAGTCAGGACAATGACTACTTTGGGGTAGAAATTAATGGACTTGGGCATGTTATTCGGGATTTGTGGTCAGGAAGGGAAATACGGGGAACTTTCTGGGGGCTGGAATGTTCTATTTCCCAATCTGATGCAGAAATTTTCACTTTATAAGTAGCTATTAAATTATTTACTTATGCTTTGAGTACTTTTATGTATGCATATGTATCCCACATTTTGATAAAAGATTAAAAATAAAATTTCCATAGTGATTAAAACAAAGAAATAATACAAATACTTGTGTTCATCAAAACAGAGAATCTCCACACTAGAAATGGAATAAAAAGAGAAATTTTATCTCTAGGTTAAAATCACAAATGCAGCATGTGATAACAGAAATTTTAAACTATATAGTCAGTCATCCAAAACAAGTGCAATGGGGACAATCTATGGAAAAATATAAATATGCCATCATGATCCAAAATTTCAAGAGTATTTCATGACTATAAAAAATAAACTGCTTTAAATAGTTTATAATCCTCTTGTCTTTTCATCTATAAATATCCAGTTGCCTAGTAGTTTGTAATACTGACACGAATAATAAAACGTAACCCACAAAGAACACCAGAAGGAACTGTGCTGTCACTATTTACTTTCAATCTTAGATTCCCCATGTATAAAATTTAATATTATCAGAAATAATTTTTAGCATATAGCATAACAATTTAAGAAATACAGACTGGCCCCTGATACTTACTGCAGAGTCTTAACATAATAGAAAGAATTTACATGATTTAAATGTAGTAAAATATTATAAAATGTTATTTAAATGAAAAAATATAATCATGTTCTATGATAGAAAGACCAATTCTACTAAAAATATAAATCTCTTCTCAAATTACAAAACACATCATTTTGGCAAAATAATTATAAATAACATGAAATTTTCCTTTTGAAAATTCAAAGAACAATGTAATAAGATTTATCCTATTAAATCAGATATTAAATCAAACCACAGATGTTCTATTCCCCTCAAACTTCAAAATGAATAATCACTTCTCATACCTATTTGCATATCTTAATGTATTAAGAGTATTTTCACAAGATGCCATTCCTGGAGAGATTGTGGCAATCTATGGGGGAAAAATGCAAAGGTAAATAAAATGTTATAAATGATGAAGACAGTAATACTTATTTACACAGCTCATCACAGTCTAATCTTAATATGGTTATTTAAAAAATTATTAATGATATCTGAACTCCAAGATAACTTGCTATCTTATGCCAACGATCAGATATTAATTATACACTCTAGTTAAAATATAAACAATTCTCTGAATGCATGAGAAAATGATCAAAATCGGGCAGAAAATGGGGTCAACATCTAGTAAATGAGAATAATAGCATCGAGTGGCTGTCCCCATCTACCTTTAATAATTTTTTTGCCTAAGAGCAAGCTCTACTGCTGTCAGACAGAACAACTAAAACTTCATTAGAAACCTAAAGTTTTACGTGTTAAGAAACTGAAAGAGAGTTTGAAGGTGAGGATCATACCAGCTGGAAAGTGAAGTTTGTCCCAGAAGAGACAACCACAGAAGGAGAAACTCAAATTCTGCATATAAACTGCCCAAATGTTTGGCTGACCCCTGAACTAGGCATATACAAGGCTGACTCCAAGAAACATAGCTCTAAGTCTAAAAGAGCTAAACAGAGATTTCAATTTCAGTTGCTGCCCACAGCAGGAGAAGAGTTTAGGTAAGTCCAGCTAAGTAAATTTTCTGATAAATAATAAAAAATCGATAATCTTTAGAAGAATACAATAGAATCCAGAGTGTCTGTAAGTCATTCATTCATAATAAAAATGATATAATCCAAAATTATTAGACATATGAAGAAATAGAAAAGTATAACACATATTCAGGAAAGCAAATCAATGGAGACAACCTCAAGAAGACTCAGATGTTGGAATTAGTAGAATGCATTATTAACTGCAATATAATCCTCTCTGTCAGACCATCTTACGTACACTGTCTCTCTCACAAAAGAAGGATTTAAATGATTGTCACTAATATATATTATAATTTCCCCACAGATATTATGTAATTATTCATTCAGGATTAAAACAAGACAAACAAAAAACAAACATAAACTTACCATGCAGGTACGAGAGTTTTCACCAATAAATGAATCTCTTAACACCTGAGTGAGTTTGCTTGCTCGGAAAGGAGTATGAGGTTTATTTCTACCTAAGGCTCTAATGCACTCCTGAAAATTAAGAAAGCAAGTTTCAGAGATTAGGCTTCTTATAAAGAGTAATCTTAATTAACACATTTAAAAGATCTCTTACTATAACTCTAATATTTAAGATCTGATCAGCTCTAAAAATGCTATGAACAGGTTTACAGCATAGTAAAGAGGTTTCCATAAAATCTAATTCAAGAAAATGAAATTTATAACAAAAAACCCAAAACCAACAAACTACTATTCAAAGAGATTCTTCTGGAATCTAGGACTAATGTTTAGAAGTGAAAGGAAGTAGGATAACTATAAAAAGATACTTTTAAAGTGTAATACAAAACAAAAAAACACAGAATGCTTTCTTCTAGTCCTGCCAATCTTTGCTTTTCTAGTCGAAGAAGACATATAATACAAGCCTAACTTTTTGAAAGCCATTCCACATTTTTCTGAGAAACTTATTTTTTCATTCTATTTTGTAATTCCTTGCTCTCCTCCAAGAAAATATGACTGATTAAGGCCCTCTGGAATTTTCCCAAGTAGCCCCGGAACTGGCCTGCCAACTAACAGATCCTTTATCCACCCTAAAAAGAATAAATAACATGTGTAAAGAAAATTTCTGGGTACAATATACATCTATAACTGCAAATATAAGCAACTAAATTTTGATAACCTCTATTATTTATTAGACAAAACAAGTAACTATCATTGTGTAGTAGAGTAAGCATAAAATCAAAAGTAAAAGATCTTTCACAACAAAATACATTTTATTTACCTTGAGTGCTAAAAGGCTTTTATTAATTTCAGCACCTTCAAGCCTAGTTTGCCTGTCTGCACTGGAAGTATCAGCTCCTCTTTCATTCCCAGCCAAATCGATGAGAGAAAATTTGCCATGTAGTTTCCCTTTCCTCCTAAGAATAATCTGAAACACTGCATGGCTCCGAGATGAATGTGCATTTGCAGATGTTTGACCAGATGTTCTACAATGAGATTATGGACATTGTGATACACAAAAACCTCAACTGAATATTCAAACCACAATATTTTCATTTAAAAATATCCAGTTTTTATTATCTAAATACAAAAGACATTTTCAGTTAATAACACTTAAACATAACCAGATTCATACAATTAAATCTGACATATCTCTAGTATATTTATAGTATGATAGCAATATAATTGCTATCATTCAAAGTTACATGTTCACAAAAGTTTTTATGAACAATAATTTTTACTTCCAAAGTGCACTGAATAACATCCTTGCTTTGTTTCTGTTATAGTCAAAGTCTCTAAAACTAATTATGAAATTGTTTCCCTTTCTTAATTAAAATGAGATTTACCTGCAACTGTTGCCTATGTCAATGAGTTTCAGGACATCTTCAACACATTTGACCTCTCGTTCCTGTAATCCCACCACTTGAACCTGCTGTTTTCCATCTTCTAGCACTCTTAATTTTGTTTTCCTGTTTAGCAAGTCAAACACCTAAAAAAAAAATTCTAATTAGAAAACTAGCTTTAAAGAATCAGTTCTATAAAAATGAGTCATTCAAAATCTGAAAATTATTTCAAATAATAAGTTTTAGAATCAAGTGCTCAATACTGAAGTTGAAGAGTTTCAAAGGGAATTAAGAAAATCTCATAACACAAAATTCTAACATAATATTCCAAACACATTTATAAAAATTATGTGGCGGCAAAGGTTCCACAACAATGTGAATGGACATAATGCCACTGTATACTTAAAAATGGTTTAAATAGTAAATTTCATGTTATGTATAGTTCAATAATTTTTAAAAAACTAAAAAAATTTTTTTGACGTTTCCACTTACCTTTCCACTATAAATTTCAAAAAAGGTTGCATACACTTGAAGTTCTAACTTCTTATAGTTTGGCTTCTTTAGCATTAAAAAGACATCTCGGGCTGTCAAGAATTTCACATGGAGAAAATTTAAGACGCAACAAATACTTTTGTTAAAAAGCATTTCAAATTTTCTATTTTTAGAGAAACCAGTTAATCTTTACCCACAATAATGTCAATAATAGAAATGAAGACTAAAGTGAACATTAATTTACAAAAGATAGTAATAATACTTTTTTTTTTACATTTAAGGCTTAGATGCCACTCTCCATTATTTAATAAAAGGAAACTACTACCTATCCTTATAAATAGCATAGTTATAGGTGGTCATAATAAGGTTACTCTCATAACCATACCAAATCGACATTTTTCAATCATTATTCAACAACGAATAGTAAGCTCCAATGAGACATCACAATGACACAAATATAATCAAGATTTCTACCCCGAATGCACAGTTCTTATCAAACAGTCTGATAACCTGAAATGCACATAATACAGAGTAAATATAACATTACAGATACCCTTAAAATCCTGGATGATATTTCCAAGTCTTATTTCAAAGGCACCTGAATAATATTCAAGAAGAATATTACAAATGATATGCACAAAGGGCACTTACCTGCTAATGCATAAATTCCTTTAGAACAATCTTGGTTCTTTCCTGAAAAGTCACCTCCCATAGTCTATATTGTAAAAAGAAAATAAAGAATAACAGACATTATTCAGCAATAAATCTTTAGAATTTAGGTCTAAGAATTAAGCTATAAGGAAAAAAACTAGCTTCATACCAGAATATAACTGTAATAAACTACTTACATGAGTTTTTCCACTTCCAGTCTGCCCATAAGCAAAGCATGTAGCCATTCCCCTTTCGAATATAGTTTCCACTAGTGGTCTAGCTGTAAACCTTAAAAATAATATGCACCAGTCAGAATGTGCTGTCAATATTTAAAAAAATAAATAAAATATCTAGTCTTATTAAACAAAACTTATACCATGGTTTTTAACAAATCAATAATCTCAACTGTTAGGTCATAATTGAGCCCTTGATTCATTAAATATTTTAAATAACCATATCTTAGAATTACTTAAAGGTCTTTAAAAAATAATCACAAGCAATAATTTCATAATAAACAATGATCACAATGGACAAAAAAAAAAAAACTGATAGTAACTGAGCTATGACACATATAGAAGACATTAGGAAAGTTTAAAAAATAACAATGAAAGATGGTAATATTAGCCAGACAGGTAAAACATACATAATGAAAATAAAACAAACAATAAACAGGATCAAAAGTTTCAATACAAACAAGAGTGGTAATCTCAATAGAGAAAAGGTAAAGAGGTTGGAAAAAAACTACAAAAACATATCTTAGACCATTTAAGCAAGTAGAAAAATGATAAGTGATAAGATTTTATTGAATGTGGACAAGTAAATATAAATTGTGCTTAAATAAGACACTGTTCTGAGTTGACAGTCTTAATTCAAGAAAAGGATACCAAAATATTATGGTTTGGATTATTTTTCAAACCTATTTTTGTAATCACCACTAGTTAAAATTAAAAAGTAGGAAGAACAGGAAATATTTCATTCATTGAACAGAGTAGTAAAAAGTATGATAGATAACAAATCTACCTTCTATATAGGCTTCAAAATAATATATGTGGAACACTTTATACAGCCCTGATTTTTTTTAAAAAAGGTACAACTAGAGAAAGTACAGAACAAAAGGAGCAGACAAAGTTCTAGAAATGAGTCTGCAGAGTGATTAGACAAGAAAAGTTCTAACTCCTCAATCCATAGAAGTTAAGGATAAAAGAAAGGAGACATAACCAATATTGGTAAAGTTAAGAAGCATGAATATAGGGCGAAACACAGAATGTTTACTAAATCTATTATATACACACAAACATATCTTTATAATGATTTCTTGAAAATGATTATAAAAGGCAAATGGACATATTTTATGAGGCAGGAGTGGAAGCAGGGAAGAGAGTGAATGGGGAGGAGAGGACTTCATTCTCAGAAAGGTAAAAAATACACAATTTATAATTATAATTACCTTTAAAACAATTTCATCGCAGTATTTCTATCTAGCATCCACATATTCTTTAATTTTGTCCTTTCTTTACAAATGAACTCCCAGTTTGCTGGCTTAAAACCAATGGAGTTGCTTTCAACACTATTTCATTTATAACATGTGCAATTCTTAGGACTCTTAGTAACTCTGTAATTTTCTGTTTACAGTCATATTTACAAAATAAAAGGGCATCAAAACACAGCATTCAAGTAACTGGCAAGACAGCTCTGCAAGGACTCAAACAGCAATGCCGTTAAAACTAATTTATATGTTCCAATAGTTACTAGTGAATGTTTACAAACTACATATGAAAATTTAAATTTGGCATAAAAATTTGGGCTATTGATATAGTATATACATAAATTTGAGTTGTTTATAAGTTAAATATGTGAATATACAAGAATTTCATGTATTAAAACTAATCCAAAGCTTAAAGATGATAAAAACTAGACAAATGCAAGTAAATTTAAAGAACCTTTTTTTTCTCTTAAGTTGAAGTATGAGCTAAAACAAGATTTAGACAAAAGACTGATATATAATAAATGTTTCAAGTTCCATTACTAGTACAGAAATTAAGAAGTAAAAAACAAAGGTCCTTTAACTATATCCCATTCCTTGAAGTATAGAAAATGTCAACATTTTCCTAGAAATTTTCTATCCGTATACATGTTGTGAAATTATAATAAGTTAATCAGTAATGAAAACTATGATTTGGGGGAACATTAAAGAGAACAAATGTTAATATTCGTTATAGTGTTTATTTTATATTCTTTGTCTAAATTCAGAATAAGAAAGCATATTTCACCTCTGGAGCGATATGCCAATATCACGTAAGTTGCAGGGTAGTGAGGAACACATGGTATAAGAAAAAAACTCTAATTTAAAATAAATGTATTTACCTACCTGTAAACCATTTCATTAGGAGCTGAGTCATCAAAGGCATAATCGAAACGAAATGTTTGGTTTTCTAGGTACCTTGTTAAATCTACTTTTTGTTTTGGTTCATGTACCATCACAACATCTTTACTAGGGATTGTGATTACATCAAGATCTTTCATTTGAGTTTCTAAAAAGAATAAATGAAAATCAATGCCCAGTAATTTTCACAGCATTTGAATTACCGTACGAAAATTATTTTAAGTAGTACGAATTTACATAAAAGTAATGAGTTCTGTAAATATAAATATCCCATAAATATGCTCAACAAGACAGAACATTTCAACAACAAAGTAAAACTATCAAGATTTTTGTGAAGCAAGAACCAGGAATGGCAATAATTCATAGAGCAGTAACAAATCAACAGATCTAACCACAGAAATCTGCATAATGGTTATGTACAAATTAAATAACTAACATTTAGCTGTTCCAAATCAATTTGATTTCTGCTATTACAAAATAAATTACAAACAGGACAAAAGCAATCTTTTATTATAATTCAATAAGCATCATACCTTTTTTATTGAGTGGTCGTTTTCTTACACAAACACATATCCTATGCTCATCAATCTAGAAATAAAATATTTTATTTCAGTGATTATCAGTGGAATGCAAAACAATAAAAAGTAAATAATGCAATAATTCTTTCAGAGGTTTTAGAAATTTAAGCATGGTATAAATAGGATAAGTAAGCGTAAAAAAACAAACTTTAATAGTTATGAGACATATTTTAATAGTTATGAGACATATTTCTAAAATTCTGAGTATAATGGAAACTTTCTTATTTTTTATTTGGTTAACCATTAGAAAGTAAGTTTGAAGAGGGTATTACTATTTTTAGTAGCATTAAGTTCATGTTAAGAACCTGCCTAATTCACTTCAAGATATGCTGTATACGAAAAAGTAAAATTTCCTACCAAGTGACACATTTTCAGGTTGATTATAGGGAAAGTTGTTGGCAAAGGTAATTAACTATAGACAAGAAAACTGATTCCAGATTACTGAGCAAAATAATTGCCAAAATTTTCTATTTTGCCAATTCTTACACATAAATACTTTTCATAAAATTTATCTCCCCAATATCTCCTTTTAGTAATAATTAGCATAAAGTAGGGATTGGCCTGCAAGCCTGATCCAGACTACTACCTGCTTTTGTCAAGTTTTACTAAAACAGTCACATTCATTCATTTATGTAGGGTCTGTGGCTGCTTTCATACTACAAAAACAGAATTGAGTAGTTGTGACAAATACCATTATAATGTGGTTCACAAAGCCAAAAATATTTACTATTAGCTCTTTTCCAGAAAAGTTTGCAATCCCTGTCCTTAGGTATGAGCTCAGATGTAGTGGGTTAAACACATGGGATGTAAATGTTATAAACAACTTTATTTAATCCTACATAATACATCTGCTGACCATAAAACATATTTTGTGTACTCAATACTATATTCTGTATGTAAGATGGATTATTTTTTGTAAGTAACAATTACAAAAATATTCCCCGTTTAATAAATTCTCACTTTACAACAGGAAAGGAGTTGAGTAATAAGACCAAATATTTTTTGAGCACTGCATTTCTGGTCTACTGCAGTCCTCAACAACCACTTCTTATTATTAAAAACCAAAGTAACATTTATTTTAAAATAACATAGTAAATTGGAATGACAGTGAGATCTATAGCTTAAGCCAAAAAGGAAATAAGCTTGAAACTAAAATCAAAGTATAAGTGATGATCAGAAAGGAAACTGGGTGTTCAGACATCACTCCTTTAACAGCTGCTCTGCCCTATCAAACACAGGGAGGCTTTGCTTTGAAACGGACATCTCTGTGGGAAGCAGGCCTGATATATCAAATTATGGAAGATAAGCATAAATGTGGATGAGTTCTTTTCTTCTTAAAATGTAGGGAATGAACATCCATGAAGAGATGAAGGTTTACATAGTAAACATAGTATTAAATTAGTGGCTATCAAACATGTTTTTATTTACAGTACAAAAAGTTCCAGAGCAATGGTTTACAAAGAATCTTACAGGATCTGCTGTTGTTAATGGTCTATAATCCAAACTTCCTCTAAAGTCTCTGATCATACACATAATTTCATAATTGGGGTTTGTAGCATCAACGTCCTATAAGAAGACAAAGAAAATCATCATTTATTATTATAGTAATGTGGTGTTTGTGATATATGGTTTGAAAATTAAATAGATTGTATCATGTGTCACAGCCAAGCCCAAACTCAAACTGGAGATGTGATATAATTTAGTTTCAGAGTTCATGACTAATAACATATCCAGAAATCATTTTCATATTAATAATAAAATTCTGTTAGTCTACACACATTGTGCTAATTCTAAATCAAACTCTCCTCATTAAAGCCACCTTTGACCTATTTCAAAATTTCATCCATTATACCTTAATTATCCTAGAAAATGAAGCAAAAGAGAAATAATGCTCATCTTAAACATTAACAAAAAATTCCAGAAAAGCTGAAATTCTATAAAAATTCATTTAATCAGATTCTTCTCCCCAATTCTTAATCTAGCAAAGTAGAAATAAGGATTATATAGATTCATTTATGTTTGCTTCCTATTTTTGTTGGCTCTCTAAAAAAACCTAAGGCATGGTAAAAACAGCTCCAAATTTATAGGATATAGAATTTAAAGGAATCAAAAGCCAATTTTTTAAATCTTTGAAACTCAAATTATTAAATGCTTACTACTGTGGAAAAGAGACAAAATGTTTTAAGATGTGATCACTGTCTGACCGTGCCTCACTGACTCAGCCTCTCATGCTAGATCCAGCTAGTTTCACTAGATAAGGGTCAGAACAGGGACTACTTTCCACAAACCCCCTAAGAAACTGTCTGACTCTTCCCCTGTGTCCCAGGCTTGCTGGTTCCTAGAATAGGCCCTTACACTGTCTGGGCAAGTATGTAAGGCATTTCTTCCTTACCCATCCTGCCTTGTCTAATATAACCCCTTAGCACCTGCCACATGGCATGGAGGATAGCCATGTCACTTGCTGCTGCCCAATTCGCACCTCATATGTACGTCTCCTTAATAAACGCTTAATGTAATGATGGAGTGTGTCAGCCTCTTTCTTTGGTCTCTTGGCAATGGGAAATTTTACGTAACAACTATAATTTACTTTTTTGCTTCAAAACTGAGAAAATTCAGATCCAGATATAGTAAACAGCAAGAGTTAACAATCTCTCTTAGCCATGACTAATAAATTATTGAACATTCTAAGTCATATTTTTTTTTCATGTACCATATTCAGGTTTGCTCTGAATATAATTAAATTTCAAAACTGTTATTGAAACTTACTTTCAATTAATCTTCTTAAAGGAAGTAACACCAACGATGCCAATTGAGAAGTAGAATGTAAAGTGAAAAATAAGAGATCACAGAGATGTGAAAATATGATGAACTACCCAAAGGAAACACCAGGTGGCATATGTGCTAACTATCAGTAGATCTATCTGTTTCGTGTATTGTTTATTTCAAAACCAAACTGGTCATTCTCAGGTCATTTTCAAATAAAAGCTGATTTACTCTAGCTGAATATTATACTGAATCCACAATTTCCCAACAAAACATCTTTATGATTAAAGGCATGTGAACATACTCCTAAAGAAACGATACTGTGACAGGAAACAAATTCTGAGAACAGATACAATATAAGGTCAATGGAGGAGTTACATGTAAAATAATAATTTTTAATAAGTGAAGAACTATAGAGAGATAAAAGGCCAGTCCTCTATGTAATTTTCCCAAAGCTAGTAATCAGTTTTGCTACTAGATAGCTAAAGGAACACAGAGTGGAGCAAAACACAGATAGATACACTTTCAATATCCAGTATGACTGAAACTCAAGGAATTTCCCCCCTTTCAATGTGTTACACTGACCTTATTAAGCATGGAAAAATAATAATAAAATTTATGACATAATCATGTACTTTAAGTGGATATTCTTCTGAATGTATTTTTAGATATTTTAAAGTCAAAATCCTATTACTCTTGTTATAACACATGAATTAGAATTCTCTAACATAATAGCTTATTATTCAAAATGGAACAAACTAGGACGTACCCACTAAAACATGAAAAGTACAACTAGTAAAATCTGTAACGATAACTTATTTTCACAAGAGTTTATTCATTCCTCACTATCAGTTTAAGAAACTATGTTAAAATCTTAAATAAACGCCTCGACTAATTTTTCCTAAGCCAACACTTTTACTGACGCAGTCTAATCTTTATTGGTACGTGAACAAAATATATTCCTGTTACAAACCTGGGCTCTTTTTTCTCTAAGTTCTTGCTGTTGTAGTCTCCTTTTTTCTCGTTTTTCTTGTAATTTTTCTACTTCTTTCACGCAATTAGATTTTCTACGCGCTGAAAGAAAAAGATGAGCTGTAGAAGTCTAGTCTTCTTTTTAGAGTTTTGTACTTATACACAAAACTTTTATGCATAATTTCACCACATAACCAAAAAAAAGTACACAGTGATAAAGCATGCCTATAACAACTATATGAACTTTACTTATGAGCTGCTTTAACAAAAGTAGGAACAGGACAATATACAAAAAAAGAGTCAAAAAAAAAAAATGACTCATAGTAATACATGTCATCTCTTGGTTTAGAATCACAGATCTCTGAAGTAAGAAGCATAAGAATTTCTTCTATAACATCTGTCAAAATATTCTCTGGCCAGAATTTTAAATTCAATGCAACTGACACACTGTTATAATTTTATATTTATAAAATTTTTTTTCCTCTAAAATATACATTTAAAAACCCAATCAACAGACTAAACTAACAAGAAAAAAGTTTTTTTTCTACAGTGGTAAAATGAAATCTGCAATCAACTTTGTAGTTAGACTGTTTACCATTTGGGGACTTATAAGAATGACCAAGAGAGAATACATGTATGTCTAAAATGACTGAATCCTTGATACATGATTTACATACAAGGGGGTCCAAATTCCTTTTTTGCAGCTTGAACTGGAGATATATCTGAAACACTACCATTCTGTTGTGCAGAAGAAGACTGTTCAGGAAGTTGACTAGGCCGTGCACGTGCAGAACCAACCACTGTAAGTAAAACAAAATTTTAAAATTCAGAACAAAAAATCAGTAAAGGTGAACCTTGGTAAAAGGAACAGTGGCATCTCATATGAACTGATACTTAATAGTTGCATTAGCAAATTGAAAGGTTTTCTACTTATATGAGCATAAGCAAAATATATAATTCTGTTCAACCAACTGACAAGCTAAGAGGTTTTCGGCATAATATGTGCAGACTTAGGTGCCACCAATATAATTTTAAATATAAAACTCAAACTAAATAATTTACATAAAAACCAAAGCCAAGTTTAATTTTTAATAATCATTTTAAAGATGTAAGTGTACAAAATATGAATTTTAAATGCAGTCTCATTTTGAAAAATTTATAATTCAAAGTACAAAAACTTAAAAGTCCTTCAACCCTCCTTATATTCCAATTCTCATTCTTTGCTCCTCAAATATGCAAATCTTTAGCAGAGAATTTCCTACTGTGGATGCTATAAAAGACATATAACATTAAATATAAATATCATAATGCTATAAAAGACATATAACATTAAATATAAATATCATATTCTACAAAGAAATATAAATTTTCACAAGACTCAAAGGACTGTGTTTAAAGAACTTTCCCTCTAGTTCCAATCTCTCCTAATACCTACGCCCATCCTTCTTCACCACCCATATGGAGCAACGTCACTCTCAGAAAGGACCACTCTGAACTGGTGAAAAGTAGATGAGAAGCAAACTATGCTTTGTATCTTCTGGCTGAAAATATATGGAAGACCTGCAATTAACTAAAATTTATACATGTTGATTTTTTTTTTTTTTTTAAGCTGACTCCTAAGTTACTCATGACACTTTCTGGGAAGCTTATTAGCTAGAAAATTATGTAAAATGTCATGATGATTAAATTTACTTTTGTGGAATCAATCAAGTGACTACTTCCTCATTCCTTTCTTTCTCAAAATACTCTCCTCAAATCTGAAAACTTACTGGGTAAATGAAATGAATCAAAAATTGCATAGATCAGAGTTTCACATTCATCACATACCTTTAGAAATCGTTTTTTATATTGTCAATATTATTGTGTTAAAAAATCAAGAAGACACCAATCTTAAAATTAGCTACATAATGTTTAAATAAATAATAATGTCAAGGATAATATTTACTTTTAATTTATCTTGTCAAGGCCATACTAAGAAGTCAGTAGGCAAAATTAATAGATAAATATTTGCTTCACCTCTATTATCTCTTGGAGGAGGGTCATTCTTAATAGAAGCCACAGTCCGTCGATTCTGTAAGAGAAAATACTCATTTTACTCCTCATAATCAGCTTCCTTTAATTAAAAAAAGTAGGCTGACATACAATAATATAAAACTAAGTGAAGAAAAAGTATGAACGATCTTCTAATGAATCACGACTAATGCTTTCAATATTCAAGTTTCTTTATACGAATATTCTCCACCCAAAAAAATTATTCAGGAATTAATGTGAGCCAGGTACTGCTCTAAGGGCTTTGTATGTATTAATTCATTTAATCTTCACAACAACCCTATGAAGTCACTATTATTGCTATTCTGGTTTCACAGATGAGGAAACTGAAGTAAAGAGATGTTGAGTAATTTCACTAAAGTGCACTTCTAATCATTATGCCATTCTGCCACAACTATGTAATACGTTTCATTTTGAGTATCAGGGGGTAATTAATAAAATACTAGTTTTAGACAACTTACATCCCATTGTTAAGCTGAAACATCAAAATATTATGAGATGCACACTGCCAGTTATACTAAAAGGTTTCATTAGACTTTCAAAGACTGCATAGATTAGGGCAGCAAATATTTGGTCCTATTATTTATATACCAAGACTTCATTTTATTCACCTAGGGAAAAAAGATACCAAATAGTGCAGTATTTTTCAACTCTAACTGCACATTCAAATGAGATGGGTACTAGTAAAAAGGTACTGATGTTAGGGCCTTCTTTTAGATAAAATAAACCATCTCTGGGAGCAGGCCTAGGAATCAGTATTTTAAATTCTCCAGGTGATTCTAATGCGCTACAAAAAAAGGTTGCTAATGACATACCCAAAAGGATAAACTATGAAGATCCTTCAGCCTGTGAAGCCAAATATGAAAAATAGTCCTTTTACAAATGGTAATTAATGACCCCAAAGCAGTGACTTTCAATATGCTGAAATTATATAACTTGAAAATCTGCCTTATGTTCATATGCATGGCTTAAAAAGTAGAAGGTTCTGTTGATATTGCTAAGCTTCTATCATATTATATTTGGATGTCTTCCCTGCAAAATAGTTGAGTTCCTATAGGGTTAGAGTTATGTCATATTCATATTTGTAAGTGATAAAATCAAGAATGTAGAAAAATCAACAAATGCTTGTTGAATTGAACACAAATTGCAGATTCAACAATTTTCAGGGGCTGTCTAGCTTAAAAACAGTTGTATTTTGATACAAAGTTTTAACAGTCAGAAGTTTTAATAGAAATGCAAAGGAATTATCTTTTAATATAAAAATAGCATGCCTTTTATTTTTTTATAAAGATAAAACTGTTAGGGAGGATATAGCATGGTTTTAAAGTTTATCTTCACAGACAATACAGAAATAGTTAAACTATACTCCATTATTTCCCTTCTTTAATAAACATAAAATTAGCAGAATTACTATTTCAAAAGACTATTGGAATGAAACATTATTATGAATAATAAAGTCATTCTTTCTTTATCGAAGTCATTTGTATTCATTCAACAAACACTAACAAGCAACTGTTTTGACCCATATCTCCTGAAAAGCTATTCGTGTTAGGAAAAATCCTAATCAGGCAAGGAATTTCTAGGACGTTATTTAATGATTGTCATAACTGTGCATTAGACAACCTCAATCCTTGAAAGTATATATGTATATACATGCATACGGATGGCAGAAAGAATTTTTTTTTTTTTAACAAAGCAACTAATACTTAAAACATATTCCCACAGCCTGCCAATTTCAAAGCAGCGTGTGTGAGCACATACACACACATTCATTCTCTGAATTTTCATCACTAACCTTTACAATTTTGTTTACTTTGGCTGAGGATGTTGGAGGTGGAGGTGTTTCTGGACTGGGTTCAATTTCTTCATCAGGTACAAGGTCAGGGTTAAGTGAAAAGATGCTCTCCAAGTCAATCTGTTTTAAAAACCGCATGCATTTTGAGTGTACTTAGACAAACCTTTTACTTTTTCAAATAAATTTACACAGAGAGAATAAATGTTAAATAATTTTAGCCTAAAGAATGGTATTGCTTTAAAAATTAGATTATCTAGAATTATAACCCACACATTTAAAAAATATCTCTTAAGGTTAATTTTGTGGTCTTGATTATACGTCCAATCACATAAGATACACATAAGGAGAAATCTCTCCTCTTTCTTTGAGTGAAATTTTTTAATCGTTTGAAAGATTTTAAAAGAATGATAAAGAATACATGTACTATATGAAAATTATATACTTTTGTTTTGTTTTATATTAAAAAATTTGATAGCAGGACTAGAAATAAAAATTTAACCTAATGATCATACCTCTTTGCCTTTTGTATCTCCATTTTCTATCCATTCAACAGTCACGCTTTCATTATCTTCATTTAAAGATGTTACCATTGCTTGATGTATTCGGCCTAAATGGTAATAAAATATAATTTTTAAAATGCCGTGAATTATGGAATGCCTAAACTCTGTCAAATACAATTTTATAATTCACAAACTATTAAAAGACTACTATACTACTTTTCTTACAAGAGACTGCTACAGACTCTCAGGATTAGGCAATAAACTTTGTCCATGGCACCATAAATCGATTTGCTACAGGTCAAGACCAGGAACCCAAGAAACTGGATTATACTTAAAGTTTATTTCCAGTATACATGATAAATGGTTACATGATCACATGGAATACCTGAAATTTTTAAGACCGCTGAACAGTTATAGTCATTAGAAAGTTTCCTTATTATGAGCCAACAATGACTCCAGAACACAGAACAAAAATTCATAAGGCAATTTTTAATACTATACTGTTATAACATACTTTTTATTTAAAAGTCATGATCATATACTATACAAATTAATAATATTAATTTAAAATTTTTAGAAAAAGAATCTGAGTGCAAAAAGGTTTGGAGATGTTAATCTAAAATGTTCTTTTTCTGCATATTGCATATGAAATCCTTACTTTCTCTGATGACTCTAGTATTTATCATCTGTAGAGAGGACAGTCTATATAATGTATTAAACTTGTTTTCCCTCTTTTAACAGATTGTGGATCTTACCTGTTAGTAACTATAAATCTAAGTAATTATTTTTAATTCTTACATAATATGCCATTGTAATATGTCATAACTTATTTAAAACCTATTGATGGTCATTAAGATTATGTGCAATATTTTATTATTATAAACACTGTAATAAATACTACTATTGCATATTTGTCATTATGTACTTGCTAGATTATTTTTTAGGAACAAATTCCTAGAAGCAGATCAATAGGTTATGTGTGTATGTTGTGTGTATACAGTTGACCCCTGTAAAATGTGGGGTTCGGGGGCACTGACTCCCGCATAGTTGAAAATCTGCGTATAACTTCCGACTCCCCCAAAACTTAGTTGTTCCTTGGTACCTGCAGAGGATTGGTTTCAAGATCTGCCATGAATACAAAAATCTGCAGGTGCTCAAGTTCCCTATATAAAATGGGGTAAAGGCATACAGTTGGCTCTCTCTCCATCTGTGGACTCCCAATAGCAGATCGAAAACAGTACAGGTATTTAGTAAAAAAAATCCATATATAGATGGACCCATGCAGTTTGAAGTCACGTTGTCCAAGGGTCAACTGCGCATACACATACACACACATACGCACACCACATGTATATATGCATATGTACATAAATACACACATATATACATATGTATACATACAATTTACATATTTCATGTTTTCATATTACCCAATTATTTGATTACTAGTCAAGTAAGGATAGAAATATTTGTTACGTATCTACACCTTCATATTATCTAATAAAATGAACATACAGAATTTTCATCTGTAGTCTCGGAATGAAGTCCTTGGGACATCTATAATTTACCTTATGATAATTTGTAGCTCTTAAGAAAAAAAAAACAACCTTGGATATATAGTACATAAAACAATGTTACTATAAGAAGAGATACAATATCTTTAAAGACAATATGGACACTAAGAATTTTATAAGTAGTTATGCATGAAATTACTGTTAATCAGTATCTTTCCCATATGGGTGCATATAAAAATCTGAAGTAATAAATTAATATAATCTTGTTTCAAAAATTCAAGCATTAAAAATAAAAGTACTCTCAAGTGATAGATCGGTGTTTTTAAAAAAATTAAAATAGGCTGGAGGTATCACACTGCCTGATAACAAATCATACTACAAAGCGACAATAATCAAAATAGCATGATATTGGCAAAAAAACAGACACACAGACCAAGAGAACGGAATTGAGAATCCAGAAATAGGCAAATAATTTTCAACAAAGGAGCCAAAAATATACAATGGAGAAAAGAAAGCCTCTTCAATGAATGGTGCTGGGAAAACTGGGGAGCCACAGCAAAAGAGTGAAACTAAACTGCTGTCGCCACACACCAAAATTAACTCAAAATGGATCAAAGATCCAAATATAAGACCTGAAACAAATTGCATAGAAGAAAACAGGCACTAAACACATGGACCTTGGATTTAGAGAGATTTTATAATTTTGACCTCAAAGGCAAGGCAAGTAAAAGCAAAAGGCAAAAATAAATGAATGAACCTACATCTAACTAAAAAGGTTCTGCATAGCAAAAGAAACAAAACAAAGAGGCAATCAATTGAATGGGAGAAGATATTTGCGAAGAATGCCTCCGATAAGGGGCTAATATCCAAAATATATAAAGAACTTATACAACTCAACAACAACAACAAACAAATCATCCCATTAAAAAATGGGCAGAGAAGCTGAACAAATACTTCTCCCATGTAAACGTGCAAATGGCCAAAAGACATATAAGAAGATGCTCACCTTCACTAGCTATTAGGGAAATGCAAATCAAAACCACAATGAGAACGGTAGGATGCATGTTTAAATAAAATTATCTTATGACACAAACAAAAACTACAATGAGATACATCCTCACACCTGTTAGAATGGCTATCATTAACAATACAAGTAATAAGTGTTGGAGTGGTTGCAGGGAAAAAGGAACCCTCATACACTGCTGGTGGGAATGTAAATTGGTATGGTCACTATGTAAAACAGTGTAGAAGTTCCTCAAAATATTAAGAATAGAATTACCACATGATCCAGCAATCCCTCTTCTGGGTATCTACCCCAAAAATTCAGAAACATGTATCATATACACATCTGTTCATTGCAGCATTATTCACAGTGGCCAAGATATGGAAAAGATGGAAGTGCCCTCAACAGGTGATTGGATAAAGATATGATACATATATAAAATGGACTATTACTCAGCCATAAGAAAAGATGAAATAATGTCATTTGCAACAACATGGATGGATCTTGTGATTATCATGCTAAGTGAAATAAATCAGACAGAAAAAATTTAGAACCATATGATTTCACTTATATGTGGGATATAAAATTGAAAGCAACAAATGAACAAAACAAAAACTCATAGACAGATAACAATTTAGTGATTACCAGAGGGAAAGGGGTGGGTAGATAAGGGTAAAGGGGGTAAAACATATGATGGAAGGAAATTTAACTTTGGGTGGTGAACACAATGCAAAATACAAACGTATTATTGAATTGTACACTTGGAGTCTATATAATTTTATTAACTAATGCCACCCCAATAAATTTAATAAAAAAGAATAAATACAAAAAACTAAAATATATACTGGCAATCTTTCCATGACAAACCAACACATTAATTTTAACAACCGATATATTAACAACTGCATAGCATTCCATAAAAGGAATGCATCACAATTTAATTATTCCTTTACTAAGAGTAATTTAAATTGTTTCCGACTGTTTGCCATTAAAAGATGTACTCATTGCACTCATTACCTACCTGTACATAGGTGTAAATGTTTTCACAAATACAATTTCTAGGAGGAGAATTAATAAATCAAAGAAACTGAAATTTCGATATTCGAAAACTGTTCTCCTTTTACCTTCCCATCATTATGGGACGTATTCTTCCACACCTTTGTGGAAACTGAGCATTAATTTAAGATTTTTTTACCAATCCGATAGGCCAGATCTTTCTGTAAGCTACTACTTTCTAAGCATGTATATGTCAGAGACTGGCCCATTTAATCTACACTAGTTTATTTAATATAAAAATATATATTTATGAAGTATATACATCCATTTTTAAAATGAAGAAACGGGCTACGGCCATGCTACCCTGAACAAGCCTGATCCCGTCTGCTCTCGGAAGCTAACTAAGCAGAGTCGGGCCTGGTTAGTACTTGGATGGGAGACCACCTAGAAAGACCAGGTGCTGTAGGCTTAAAATAAAATAAGGGATTGTAAACTGACAAGGTCCTTGCAATCCGTGAGGTCAACCAAGGGTTGTCTCTCCTAAAAAATTTAAAAATAAATAAAATAAAATGAGGAAACTGAAGCTCAAGGTGACACAGCTAATAAACAGTACAGATTGAACCTTGGGCAGATACTAAAGCTGCTATTACCATTACACTTTTCTGCTCCCCTATGTTAAGCTGATGAAAAAGAAGCCCATGTAGCTTAAATTGCAACCCAAGTAGCTTAAATTGCAAACACCCCTGTAAAAATGTATAAATTATAGCACAGATTCTCAACTCTCACTGTACACCAGAACCCCCCAGGCAGCTCAGATAAGAGTCATTTCTTATCATTCCACTGTAGTCACCTTGGTGCAAGCCACCAATGCCTTGATTCTAGGTAACTGCAATTTTCTCCCACTAGTCTCCTTGCTTTTCTACCCTATCTGCCCTCTGTATATTTGCCATACAACAGTCTACACATTCCTGGTAAAAACTAAGATTATATTGCTCTTTTTATCAAAACCTTTTAGTGGCTCCCCATCTCACACAAGAGTAAAAAGCCCACGTCCTTCCAATGGCCTTTTAATGACTTATTATAAAACCCTACATGATCTGACCACTCACTACCTCTGTGATCTCATTCATCCTTGACTATGGTAACTCTCCATTTTACTGATTGATCTGTCACACAACACTCTCTCTTCCCTCCCCCAAAAGTTCTAGAAGAGTCTATATGAGTCCAGAAGGACTGAAATGTGAAAGACAAATATAAAAGCAACTCAGTAAATAGTGGTGTCATTTACTGAGATAAGTGAACATTAGAGGAGAGGCAGGTGTTGGGAGTGGAGGGAATTATGAGATGGAAAATACTAGGAGACTTCAAAGGAAGGACTTAAAAAAAGAAATTAAATAATCCCCTCTACAATTTGATTTGGACAGAAATCAGGTAAATAACCAGTACAAGTGCTATGTATCAGCTGGGTCTTCTGAGAAGCAGATGTTGAGACCAGAGGACAAAAGGTTTATTGTAAAAGATAAGAGGAGGAGGAAACTATGCAGATCTGAAACCTGTAAAGGAGAGGGGTATGAGGTTGCTGAAGAAAGGTGTA